CTGTAAAAACCGCAAGTCCAATTGGCTTGATATTACATATATAGGTACTACATGTGGATCTCTCTCAGATTTGTTCATTTTGTAATGATATCTTTAGTTCTCTAATTTTGGTGAATATTTTGGTAATTTTTGGTAAAAAGTGATATTTTCGACTTCTTGTTAAAAACGGCAAGTCCAATTGCTTTGATATTACATATATAGGTACTACATGTGGACCTCTCTCAGATTTGTTCATTTCATGATGATATCTTCAATTCTCTAATTTTGATGAGTATTTTTGTCATTTTTGGTAAAAAGTGATATTTTCTTCTTGTTTAAAACCACAATCATTTATGGTCAAAAATTATATTTTTGAATTCTTGTTGAAAACAGCAAGTCCCATTGCTTTGATACTATGCATATTGTTCATTTTCTAATATCTTCAGTTCTTTAATTGAAATGTGCATTGCTAACAGCGGAGCTATCTCAGCCAAGAGGCTGCTTGTTAATGTTCATTCCTCCTGAAGAATTTGATTTATCCATTGAAAAAAGTGTTATCTATTATACAAAAATGTAATAAAAAATGATTTATGCTTGACTTAGACAATTAGAGTACACATAGATTTACATTTGAAACCAGCACTGATATACAAACAATCTATGTACAGTGAAATGTATGAAAAAACACTGTTTATATGGCAAAAAGAGGCCTGCAGCAAAACCAATACCAGGAAATGTTCCCATAACAGACTGAAAAACAGTCTCGCTGTGATAAAATAATTAAAAAAATTACAAACTAAGTGGAAAAAGAAAGAAGCTGATTAAAAGAAAGGCGAGGGCAGCTCACATTAGTGTGGCAATATATTGAAGTACAATAGATCAAATAGAAGTGTGATAGATGCTGGGATGTAGGACCTGGATTATGTAGCGTCTGCATTGATGGATTTTGTTAAAAGTTGGTACATACACAGATTACTATATTATACATGTCTGATTACATACATGTAGTGGCTGACTGGTGGCCATTTTGTTTTAATGAATGCTGTTCTGTCATGCCTGGTATGAATGCTGTTCAAGCTTTACACATACACATGCTTATGATGCACACATTAGTTTAGCAACATTGATGTTCAACTGGTAGTCATCTTTGTGTTGAAAATACACCAAGTATTTTTACCATTCTGGTACTTGGTTCCTGTTTTTGTCTGTCATATGTCTAGATCGATTCCAGTCATCTTTTATATATATCATTACATACACCTTTAATATAATGCATAGCAAACTGTGTAATGTCTTGACTTCTAAAATTTATTATGTAACCTATACTGTTTACCCTCCATTTGCTCAGACACACACAAATGACTTGTTATCCAGTCTACTGGTATAAGGAAACAGTGAAAATAGAAACAACTACTCCCTTTTGGCTCCTTTTACCTGTGTATAGACTATTTTAAATAAGGAATTGAATTGAAAGACAACAAATTAATTAAAGATCATACATTACCACATTTGTTGTATGTGTAATGGTGGTTTTGTGAATGTAACCGCTAGACTCATTTGAACAAAAAAATATGCTGACATTTAACATGCATATACATGATGGTGATGATACTGAGTTCAATCTCACCTCTCAGATACATTATTTTTCAATTTTTGATTCCCATAAAATGCAGTCTAAAACAAGTGAGATGCTTTGTTCAAAGTTAGAATAAAGTCAGGACATAATTTTGTAATCTTCTATTGTTAATTAAGCCAAATAAATATTGATTATGATTATGATAAGTTTTATAAATGTCAGAAACTTGCTTTGTAAGGTAATTATTGATTCACAATATTAGAATAAATTAAACCCATTGCAAATTAAACATGGATTCGTAAATAGATTATGGCTGGAAATCATAGACCAGTTACAGGGCTGTGGCCATTGTTCAGCACACTTTTAATTTTCATTTAAAGTGGAAGTGACGTCACCTGCGCAACGACTCTTGGGTAGACGCCTGTTTGTAAACAATGACACGCTATGGCCATCTGACGCATGCGCAGGGGAAACAGTTCCCCCGCTTTAAACAATGTATTTTTAAATGAATAAATTATTCGTATAGCATGAGACCCATATTGAACATAACCTGTCACAACCGCCGTCTTTTAATTTGGGGATTGAGTACATGTACATGTATCTATAATAAAGGGTTTGATAGAAATAAAATTATACTGTCTGCACATGATAAAATCTGTACATCTTGGTCCCAATATAATGTAATAATTATCTTCTATTTATATATTCCAGGCCTCTGCACAGTTAGAAACTGGTCTTCCAGTTAAAAGACCAAGGCGATCTTTCTTGCCAGCCCCTCGAACAATATCATTGCCGTCATCATCATCATCAACAACAACGACAACAACCCTCATTGCATCATCAGATGTTGCATCTCTTCTTATTGGAGACAGAGTCAATGTACAAGGCTATAATAGTGGTATTTTAAAGTTTAAGGGAAAGACTAAATTTGCTAAAGGTGAATGGTGTGGTATTGCATTAGATGAGCCTGTGGGAAAACACAATGGTAAAGTTGGTGGAGTCCAGTATTTCACTTGTGAACCAAAACATGGTATACTTGTGCTTAGTTACAAGGTGTCACACTTAAAAAAGGACAGTAGTTCTGGAGCAGGTGCTGCATTGTCGTCATCTTTAGATATCCTTCCTTCTTTAACTCAGCAAAACAACAAAAAACCTCACAGTAAAATTCCACCACCCAAAGAAACAAGTAAACTGATTACTTCTACTGGCATTCCAAAATTTGGGAGACTTTCTCAGTCATATGGTGCTGCTTGCAATGTTACTGCTGTAAAAGAAAAAGGAAAAAGTGATACAAGTTCTTCAAGGTTTGGAAAAACTGCTGAAAGTAAAACACATTCGACCTCAGCGTGGTCTGACAAAGCAACTACAATATCAGAAAATACAGTTAAGAAAAATCAAAAATCCTTACCTGCAATACAAGAGAGAAAATCAATTACTCCTCAAAGTAAGCCAGATTTAGATAGAACTTATTCATTAGAAAATGATGACACTAAAATAAAAAATCTTCCTGTTATTCAAGAAGATTTGAATAGCACTTATGAGCTGCCTCCAGATGAAAAGGATACAAATGTAACTCAGATTTTAGAAGATTCTTTTAATCAAGGAGCAACAAATAGTGACAACACTGTGCTGAATACTACTGTAGACATCAAGGATTCCACATTTTCTTGTAATAATACCACATTCTCTAAGACTTGTAATAGTACTAGCTTTGATACAGATTGTAATAGTTTAACGCAAGAAGAACAGTTTGACAAGACTCTGGATTTGACAGACATATCACACACAGACAGTGGTGGGAACAAACCACAGGTATTTGCAGAAACTCCTCTTACTTTTATGGGCGAAAAAATACAACTGAAAGATGCAGAAGCTGTAGATGCATTGTACCCTATTTCTATTCCTCCGCTTGATCTTTACACTGTACCTCCAGAAATCACTTCCACACCAGATCTTGAATTTGTACAGTGTAGGCGTGGCAGAGTAACAAATCAGAGACACAAGCTGTTGAAAAACTGCTATGTGACTGACTGCTTGGATGGTGCACCCCCAAGGAAGAGAGTTGCAGTTATCGAGGAAGTAGGAATGGATTCCACTCAAAGGGAAACACAATCAGGAATACCGATAGCAGGTACTTCTGTGGATGAATCAAATACTAGTATAATGGATGTACATGAAGTAGAAAATGGAATAGAAAAGTTAGAACTAGCATCTGGACTGTCTGAGTTCAGCGAACAGTTATCTTTTGACATAATCAAAAGCCATATGAGTGGTAGTGAATCAGACAGCAAGGGGCATATAGAGCAGAATAATGACAATTCTGCAAATGGTAATGCTAGTGAAATACAAACAATTGATTTAATTGGTGATAAAGATGTTGATGTGACTTGTGAAATAGAAGAGACAGATAGTCATGACTTTACCACTGTAGATGATATGTCTACTGATCATGTAAACTTGGATGTTCTTGCGACTTGTGAGTCTGACAGCAAGGGGCATATAGAGAGGAACACTGACAATTCTGTAAATGATAATGCTAGCGAAATAGAAACAATTGATTTAACTGACGATAAACTTGCAGATATTGCTGTAATGCAAACTAAATTTGATCATGTAAACTTGGATGTTCTTGCGTCCTGTGAAATAGAAGATGATAAACAACCGGTTTTAAAAGAAAAATCAGGTCAGACAAGTAGTCATGACCTTGCCACTCTCAGTGATATGACGTTGACTGATCAACAAGTGAATGCAGTTTCATCAGCGATTCAACCGACTGTGGTGGACATTCTATCAAATAGTTCACCAGTAGCGCATGATCAAACTATGGATATGACAGGAATAGATGACATATCAATGCCATGCATAGAATTGGATGTTAGTGGAATTGTTCCAACGAACTCCACAACTAGCATGTCTAGTGACATTAGTAGCACGATGGCTAATGACAACATCAAAGTAGAGAAGGAAAAAGCTTCAATAAAATCGAAATCTGCTGGTTCTGGTGACAAAGATACTCCAATGAAGAGAAAAGTTAGAGACGCTAAATCCCCAAGAAATCTCACAAAAGTCAATGAAAATGATAAGAATGTTCCGCTGCAACCAAGGAGTGCTTCTCGTACATTGAAAAATATAGATAAGCGACCCATGCTCAGAAAGGGCTCTTTAGATTCTGGTCGGAATAGTCCGGTCACCAAGGAGACAGCTGACAACAAACCAAAATCAAAATATACTCCGTCTAGTTGGAGGACAAGCAAACTCTCATCTCCGACGAAACCTCCTTCACCCACAGAACCTAAAGACAGAGGAGGTGTGGTCTCACCAAGAAGGAGAACTGAGCTTCCAATCTTGCCGCAGAAATTGAATTTTGCCACAGTGAAGAGTCGGATTGACACTGGCCGGCGATCAAGTTTGAAGAAGGCTGAGAAGGATGGTGATGAGCTAAACGAGTCAAGACTTGGTGAAGATTCTGAAAGAAGATCAAGCATATCATCTATTAAGAGCCTGAAATCAGAGGATGCTACAATTACCTCAAATATACTAACTAAAAGTACCTCAGGTAAGAACATGATATTATTATATAAAACATTTTGTTTATTTTTAATAACGAGGATACCCCCAACAAGTCATGTGTTCCAGTAAGTCAAGTTGATTACAATATACCATGTGATACATGTCACCATCTTTATTTGTGTCTCATTATAACTTATTGTTTGACTGTATTCATTTATTTTTACTTGAACTTTATTTTTTTCTCTATTTTCTCTGGAGTGGCATTCAATAATGCATGAACAGTGAAAATGTAAACTTTCCCCCTGAAAGGAATATCTTTATGTCAATTTTCCATCCCACAACAGTTTATTTTGAACTCCTTGTTTTATTGTATCTCTGTGTTGAGTATTATTTTGTCTTGTTATATGTCTTGTATAATTTACTATCCATTACATGCAGGTACATGTAGTGCTGTATCCAGCTCAGCCAATCTCCAAGCCATCATAAGGGGTAGTTCACTCATGGCTGAAATAAGAGGTACAAGATACTTTTAGAACCCCCCCCCCATACACCCCAACAAATTCACTATATTCTGAAACTTTATAGAACTTTTAACCCTAAGCCGATTTCAACCTGACTTTAAGGTACAGCCTTCATTGTTGAAATCCCAACTTGCTTACTGTCATTGTCGACTATTGGACATTTATTTTTTGGGTATAAAGCGCAACAACACTTATTATTATTATTGTTGTTGTTTGTAGCCAAAAAATACTGGAGAAAATATGAACACATACATGTACTACAGAAAGGGGATTCTGATATTATCTTTGGAATTATAAAAAAAAAAAAAAAATGTTTGTTTCTTATCAAAACCTCATTCTTTTGGCACATGTTTTCTGCATTACAAAAACAGGATGGAGTAAATATGATTGTGAATAGTAATTGCAGTGTTCAACCTAATATCATTTGAGGAACATTTTTATTAACAATTTCTGTCTATGCTGTAACATCTAATATTATATGCGAGAATAATTTGGTAGGAATATTCTGATTTGTTACAAAATTTCTCCACAAAACAAGTAAATAAATTATTTCAAAGTAAATAAATCCAAGTGACAAGTAATCTATCAGGCTGAAAAGTGATTCCATGAGACAACTGATCTAATTGGCTGGGAAGTGAATACATTCAAATGATAACAAGCGAGTCCACAAGATTAAAGTACATGTAATTTAATTGGCTTGGAAGTAAATGTTTTTATAAATGAATCCTTTTTAGTTCAACAATGAATGTTGTACAAAATTTTAACAAAACTGTTAAAACCATAGCAGAAATAAACATTTGTCCAATTCAAATCAAAATCGCATTCTATCTAATTTAAATATCTCTACAATCTTATTTATTAACAGGGTGTACCGGTACTTATATTTTGTCCTTTTCCCAAAATTCACCGATTTTGAAAACTACCAGTATTTTGTGTTTGTGATTTTTTTTTAATTTAAAAGTTAATGACTGGATTGTATCTTGCATGTTTTCTGGCTTTGTTGGGCATACTACTAAAGTTATTTATTAAAATGGTGTAAGATTGTACCTTCACTTGCCAAATGAAGACGGCTACCTGACTAACTAACTTGTGTAATGTTCTTGTATTTGTGTTGCTGTTGTGTTTGTTTTCCCTCTCTTCTTTCTCTGCCTTTTGCACTGTTATCATGTTTTGTTTTTTTGCGCAGGTAATATTTGCATAATCATGTAAACCTGCACAGGTGAATTGCATTAACAGTCAGCCATTTGCACAACCTCTGAAGTTACACATCTTTGTGTTTTGTTTTCTAAAATAGATTTGTGGATGTGCTTGTTTCGTAGTATGTATGTGATATTTTTGCTGGAATTTTGAAAATAGAAAATTGTTTGATATGAATAATATATTTCCACCAAAAATATAATAATATTATTTTTGTAGTTTATTTTTGCTCATTTACACAGATTATAAAATTCCAAATCCAAATTACATGGATAGGATTACAAATAGTTGAATTGATTCATTATTATATATTAATGTTTTATTCAATGGTATTTCAATTATACAATGATGTGAGCTATAACGAACAGTGCAAATGGCTTACTTACTCAGGATATCTAAGTTGGAAATATTGCAAGCAATAGTGTTTTCCAATCTCTTTGATTTGTTGCATGTATCTATATGTACCTTTATTTTACTGATTCACACCTTTATTATTTGGTTATATTCAAGTGTTTTGGAGAATTAAAAACATCTTCAGAATTGATTATCCCAACCATTTACCAGAATTACATTGCTGGCCTACTGTTTTTTTATTTTTTGATACTAATTTATGTCTTAATTTTAGGCCACACTATCACTGCTTATAGCTTCGGGAAATAACAGGAATTTTGCAGTGATAGGATTCAGGAATGCTGCTGGCATGTGTACTGCTTTTATCATATATACTAAAGAAAATCAACTTTGTTTGATATGAATTTGAATGCAATGTTCGTTACAGGTCAGAAACCAAGTAGTCAGAAATCCAGTCAGCCATCCAGCAAACCTGTGTTTGGTAGTAGAATGGGTGAAAGAAGAGGTAGTTCATCTAGCATTACTTCTGACATATCAATTAAATCTGACATATCAAAGGGTTCATTGTCAAGAAGGTCATCATTGCCTAAGCTCACCACTGGTGGTGCTGGTAATATCATTCCACCTTCACCTAGGCTACAAAGTAAGCTTTGTTTCTCATTCATGGTGTTCACTTTTCTGTTGATGCAGTTAATCTCAAAACTTGTTGCTGTTCTGTCAAAGTGAATCTGTCTTTGATGTAGACACTTCAAGCATCATCTATCAATGCTATATAACAAATTAGATTGCATAAAGTCAGTTTTGGGAAAACGTTTCTGTACTGCTCCTCTAATGTACCAAATTGTATACCACTCTGTATTGTTATTGCTACTACAGCAGTTATAGTGGACGATGTTATTTACAGATAATTTTACGTAATACAAAGCTTTTACTAGTTGTGAGATTAACTGTATCTTTGCATTATAGTAGTTTACAATATTATTATTTTACTATAAAATCATTTTGTTTACCAGGTTACAGAAAAACTTGGAATATAATTTCATGATTTGATAAAGCATGCCTCATTGAATGCCATTTTATTTAGTGCACTTATATGGTTACGTTTTGCCTGAAAATAGTTTCTATTTCAAATGATAAGTGTATAAATATCATATGTCTTGTATAATGTCAAATACTTCATTTTAGCTGGAATTAATTTTTTGCTGAAAAGACTTTGGGTGTTTTTTAATGGAATTTATTTTTACTAATTTTTGATGGGTTGAATGTAAAATATAGGAAAAAGGTATATTTACTGGATTGTATTTTCACTGAATTATTCCTTCATCGAAAATAGTGAAAATTAATTCCAGGCGAAAATACAGTATAAAGGTCCATGCTAATAAATTGCATTAATATATCATATCTATCAAGGCTGGTAAAAAGTAAAATGATTTTAATGGGCATCAGATGCAATAGTG